AGGGCCTCTCGGCATCGCTTTGACTTAGCCTAGTGTTAGCAACAACTCCCTTCTGGGGCTGGGATGCTTACAAGTCCCTTCCCACCAACAGGCCCATGGTTGTTATCCATTGATATGCACCCTGACATCTCCATTGCATGCCTTACGAAGTGAGCAAAAAGCTTTATCAATCACAACACGAGAACATCCCCCCCTGACCACTAACCCCACCTCCCACCAGGCTGGGGCAGGCAGCACAGCACCCTGAGGGTTACAGGGTGGATTTGGGTTTATGTCTTACACAAGCTGCTCCTCTCAGCTCTTGCACACATCAGCACGTTTCTCAGGAACTGTGCTATTGGGGTAGCTCTCTGAAAGAGTCCCTGAAAAGGAACCTGCTTCCCTCTCTGCATGTCCTGGAGAAGGCTCCCCATAGCCAGCTCGAGGTCGTTCCCAGCCCTGCCTTTCTCCCCTCCCTGGAAGGCAACCGTCAATTCCTACCTGACTTCTGCCCAGGGATACCAGAAATGACTCCTTTTTTGCTGCAAAGAGACAAAAAGACAGCAGCTGAGTTTTCAGAGAAGGACAAGGCTTCAAGCAGCAGGAAGTGCTCATGAAACCACTGCCCTCCTTTCGCAGATGCTGGCAGAAGGAGAGGTCAAGGGGAAGCCCAAGGGAGACCCAAACTAAGCCAGAATGGTTTATGTCTGGTCAGTCAGGAACAACTGCTCCCCCCTGTCCCCAGCATGCAGGTGGGGAGATTTCCTCTGTTTTTGTTCTGGGGGAACTGGTGCTTCAGTCCTCAGAAGACGCCTGGGCAGGAGGGAGAAGTGAGCCCTTCCCGCTACCTCCCAGCTTTCCCCTCGCCCACAGCAGCCTGAGCATCCCGACAGAGCAGACCGTGGGGTCTCACACAGAGAGGTTGCAGCATTACTCGAAGTACCTGAGTCTGTTCCCAGTGGGTTTGAGCGCACATATCCCACAGAAGGCAGCGGGGAAACGCAGGCTCCCTCCTACATCTGTCCCAAAGCCCAGGATGGACCCACCTCCTCCTATAAGTGCCCCTTCTCCACCCGAGGAGCCTCCGGGGGTCCTGGTGTAGAGCAGGGGGTTGAACGTCTGACCGAAGATTAAGTTTTTGCAGTCAAAGCTAGAGAGACAGAGAGTGTGCAAATGAGGGAAATGCGGACATCTGCTGATGTGGACCCCTCACTTCAAAAAAAGAAACCTGAGAAGTTTTTTTGACTTGCAAAATCTGTGTGGAAAAAAAAAGTGACTTGCAAAATCTGATAATCCCCGGGGCAACCCCTCTGTGTGGCTTTTTAAAAACACGGTCAGTCCAGTCGTTGCCCTGTTACAGTTAAGAAAGGCAAGGCACCTCGTAGGGCTTGGGCAATAGCTGTCCTTGGAGCTGCTCTACCAAAGGTCGTTTGGCAGGGCAGGGGGACACGAGCAGAGCGGCTGCCCAGGGGAGCACACCTCACCTCACCCCACGCCAGTGGTGTCGAGGGTGGTCTTGGCAGACATGGCAGGAAGTTTTGGGTACGTTTATATTGGTACTGTATAGCTGACAGAACTGCCACTAAGGGGTTAACTAGATTTTTTTTTTTAAAGGTGGCTTCAAAACCAGCCAGCACAAGACAGAAGGGCAGCAATTATTCTCCTCTTCTCTTTCTTTATTTCAAACCAGAATGAATGGTCGTTCTGAGTAGCCTTAAAACTTAAAGACGCTAGGGATGTGGATTGGGTGTTGTTCTTGAAAAAGAGGTGGGAAGTGAGAATTAGACTTGATAGAAACCCTCGCTGGAGAGGAGAGAGGGAGAACTGCTGTTCCTGCAGGAATGGGGAGGGGGCACCTGGGCCGCTCACGTACCTGATGAGGGACTGGGGGACATTGGTTTTCACAAAGGGAATTGCCCCTTGTCTCTTGAGCACCTGCACCAGCACGCTGTCCTCGGCCATGGGCTGGTTGATGTTTTTCACGAACCCTAACGTGGAGTCATGGCCCTGGGAGCAGAGTACAACCAGGTTCACAGATCAAGGACTGCAACTTTCCCTGCCCCCAGTAATTTTATCTAAATCTAGAAACACGTGCATGCACCTCCAGCAACACATCCAGAACGTACACACCACATGGTGTGGTGGTAATAAAACCTAACCAGCCTTCTCCGTTGGCTTGTGTGGGAGATGGGCAGCAAAGCCTATCACTTGCCATCAGCTTTCACAAAGTCCAGCCAGACGCTGAGGTTAAACCTCCCCCCACCACCAGATTTAAACCCCAGGGATCTCAGGATACGCGTGGTATTGTGCTCCTGGTACCTGGCAGTTGATGGAGTCCTTGATGCTGACAGGCACCCCATAAAGCAAACCCGGCTTCCCCGGTGGCCTGGCTTGCTGGAGCTGGGTCTCGCTCTCCTGCATGTACTCCGTGATGCAGTTGGTTTCTCTGGTGATCTGGAGGGCCTTAGGGGAAGCAGGCAAAGCCATGGGTGAGACACAGCCTGCAGTGCTGCACAAGCACTTTCTGTTCTGCAAATCACACCTGCCTCTCCCTGCTTCTCCACCTCCCCATGGGCAGCTGGCACCAGGGCAGGCCTTTTTGGTCTTTTCCAAGAAGTTTTTGTGCCAAACCCCAAACCATTGTCTGGACACAGGAGGGCCACAGCACCAGCTGGGGCATGATGGATAGAGGCACTCAACACAGCAGATCACAAAAGGCTGTTTTCGTGATCATGCTTGTAGGGTGGCATAAAGTGATAACCCCAAGGTGCAAACCCAGGAGGTGATCAGGGCATTTTGGCTAGAGAATGAAAGCACACACTGAGTGTTTGAGGTTTGCCAACCCATTTGGAGAAGATGGGGGGACAACAGCAGCACTCTACAACCTCCCCAAGCGGTGACAGCTCAGCAGTGTCTGAACCAGGCTCGAACCTTGTGCTGGGCTTCTCCCAGGAGAACCAGCCCTAACGTTGGGCAAGACCCTGCCCTGCTGCCCTCGCTCCTCACCTTGCTCAGGTAGGCGTAGAAGACGTGCTCTGGAGGGAGGGAGCCATCCCGGAGTTTCCTGGAGAGCTCCGGCAGAGACAGAGAGAGGATGGACACCATGTTCACCGAGGGATGCTAAGGGAAATGATGAGCAGGGAATGAGCACTGCTGCTGGCTCTTCCTCCCCCTGTAGTGCCCAGTGTATCCCAGCCTAAAAGCGTCTGCTGTTTAGGGGTCAAATGCAATATTTGCCCCAAGACTGGAGTCCTGCTCCTGCCCCAGTGCTGGGGAGCATGGAAGGAAACCTGCGGGGCCAGCAGAAGCCCAAGTGTTTTAGAGCCTCGTCTTCCCGGCCAGACCGGTATTACTCAGCCCCTGCAGAAAGCCTTTCTCCAGCCTTGTTCAGACAGGTCTCGGCGGGGCCTGGAGGAGCTGCTCGGTGCAGTGCTGAACTCCAGTGGGAATTGGCTATATTATTCGATATTGCTCCAGCGAGGCAGGAAAACAGGCAGCTCTTCCCCTGGCACCACCAAATGACCAAACTGGGAGGCGCACGCCAGCGAGAGCCTCAGCTGACAGCAGAGAGTTCATTTTGGGCTGGCAGAAATCTCCCTGCCATCTACTAAACAGCACACAAGTGCATCATACGCATCCCTCAAGCTGGGCGCTGAACCCGAGCAAGCCCTCTTGAACCACAAGCCGGGCAGCTCAGTGGGACCGCAGAGGGAACGACACGCTTGAGCTGGATTTATGGCAGCCTGCCTCGGCACGAGCAGCTCCCCGTTCCTCCTGGCTGTGCCGCTGGACTTTGGCCTCTGCTACAAAACGCCACCTCTGCCACTTCCTACAGCCTCCTTAACAATCGGGCTGACTGTCTTGCCATGGCGGAAGAGGTGGAAGCAGAAATAGCACTTTTCAATGACAGGCTGGAATTTTCCTCCTCTCACTGCCTGCGTTTCTTTTTTGCTGACTCCTGCACCGCTGCCTGTTATCCCCCAGCACACGACCCCATAACGCCTTGCTTCCTCCCGTCCTCGCTGTGCTCCCCAGCAGGGCTCCTGCTGCAGGGGATCGCTGCCTTTCCGGGGGGTGTGGGCACACGTGGTCAAAAAGAAAATGATAACTTCAGATGAGAAAACAGGCTCCCGCCTTGCTCCCAGGCAAAACACAGCCTCTGCAGCGAGCTGCACAGCAGCACCTGCCCATACCCTGAAGAAATACCACCCACCTGCCCCCCCTTACACCCTCCAGGATCCATCCCCACCCCATTTAGCTCGGGGGCGCACCGACCCAGCGCCCACCTTCACCCTCCCCGTTGGATCGCCCAGCGCGGCTCCTGGCACCCACCTGCTCCCGAAAGCTTCTCACAGCCTTGTCCATCCTGTCCAAGCCTTCCTCCTGCCTCTGCCGGGCCGCCTCCACTTTCTCCCAGAGCCTTTTCCAGCGCCTCCATCGCAGCAGCAGCAGCAGCAGCCCGGCGGAGCAGCAGCAGAGCAGCGCGGGCAGGGAGCGCGGCGCCGGCCGCATGCTGGGCACGGCCCCGGGGGCACCGCGCTCCCTCCCCGCCGGCTCCCGGGGCTGCCTCCGGCCACCGGGGAGGCGGGGAACGGGGAGGCAGAGCCCCGGGGAGGAGCGGCCGGCAGCCGAGCGTTGGACGGGGCTCGGGAGGGTGTTAACCGCTTCGAGGCACCGCACGGGCTGGGAGGAGGAGGTTTGGCAAAAAGGGAAAAAGGTTGGAGGGTTGGGAGAGAAAGGGATAAGGAGCTGAGAAGGCGTCCCTCGCTCCCTGCTGGTGGGTGGGCTCTTTCTGATAAGGCTCGCTGGGGTTTGTCTTTCTCCCGGTGTGGCTTCGAGCTTGGGATTTGCGGCTGTCTAAGTGCTGCGCTGGGATTTTTTCGGCTCTCGGGGAATAAACTTGGCTGGGCACATCGGAGGAGCGATGCCTGGCTCCTCCGTGTTCCCCGCAGCCAGGCAGCTGGGCGAGGGAAAAAAGAAAAAAAGGAGAAGAAACCTCCCGGCCAGCCCAGCTTCATCCCGGGCACAGCACGGGTGTGTGGCCGTGCTCTGCTTTGCCGCAGCCTGCAAAGTGGAAAACACCCGCAGACAAGTGCTCGCTGGGGCCCTGTGCTCACTTTTCAGGGAAACTCCCTTAAAATTGCTTTTTCTCTAGCCGTCCGTGGGGTCTGACCTTAAAAATCCTCACCGTCTGCAAAAAAAAAGTTCATGCCCGAATATTCACGCTCTCGTGGAAAACCTGTTGGGAAGGGTTTGGGATCTCCCTGCTGCTTCCCAGCAGGATCCTGCTGTGCCTGAGCCACCCCTGGCAGATGCAGTGCCGAGCTAGGAAACACCACGGAGGGCTGCGTGGCCCCAAACCTGATTTTTCCTCCTATTGTTGCTCAGGCCACCTGCTACACTTCAGCCTTTGGACCTTCTCGTGGTGAGCAATGCCGCCCTGTGTGTACAGAGTCCTGGCACCAGGCTTTGCTGACGGGTGTAGGAGCCTTGGGAGTACTCAGCTCTCTTAACTCATCGCTCACAGCCTCTTGCTCTCGTTTCGAGGACAAGCAGCTCTCTGTTTATCTGGGTCAAGCAAATTACATGCAAGAACAACCTTTATTTCCCAGAGCCTGTTTGGGTCTCCCCACCCTGCTTTCTTTCATTCTTTTCCTTTCATTTCCCTGCCCCTCTTTCAGACCGTGGGGCTCGGAGGATCACAGAGCAAAGGGAGCTCCAAGGGCACTGCAGTCCCATGCACGCAGACTGCTCAGAGGGAAGCAGGCATGGTGGGGTTGCCCTTGCAGGGAGGATGAAGGCGAACACCCTGACAGCTCTCTGCTCCTCCCTGCTGCTCGTGCTGCAGCCGGCACACCCTCCTCTGCAGCACCAGCCTCACCTCTTGGCAGCACGGTGCTGAAATAAGGATGTTTGCAGGCTGCAAAAACAGGTGCACTTGAAATATTTTAATATGGGATTTTAACATGCTCCTGCCCCTGCAGCTCCCCTGCTGCCTGGCAGGGCTGGAGCCTTTGGGCAAGGCAGGTGGAGAAGCACAGCCTCTGTCCCCATTGCCCCCACCACCCAGCATGCAGACGGGCGGTATCGCCGTGTCCCAGCGATGTTATCACCCCGTGTTTCCCACAGGAGGGGCAGAAAGGTGTTGTTCTCCCAGCCGTCACACATCACACGAGCTTGGCAGGCCCAGCGCAGGCTGGAGGAGCAGCGAGCCCCGGTCCCTCTGACAGCAGGCACCAGGGCCATGGTAAACACCCAGGAATGTTTTTCCTACGCCATCTCCTGGCGCCTGGAGATCTCTGGCTTCTCAAGGCAGAGGTTGGGCTTCAGTGACTAATAAATAGCTCTGTGCGTGTGCAGATACTTCTCGGGTGAAGCAATCCCCTTCTGGCACTCAGTGTCCTGCAGCGGGGAGAGCCACAATTTATCCACGCGCTGCAGGAAGCAACACCTCCTGTTTGCTGTCCTTGGCTGACTTCGTTTGCTGCCCTTCGTGTCAGAATAAGCAACTCTGCTCTCTCCAGCCAAGAACTGACACGCTTCCCACTCTCCCATTTCACCCCGGTGCTCCTCAGCTGCTTCCCAGCGGTTAACAACCTGCTCCTGCCACCAGCTGCCAGCTCCCTCCAGGGCCTGCCCCCCTGCAGGCAGGTCCAAGCTTCATTTACAGCACTTAGCTCACTAACCAGGGAGGAAAAAAGTCCTGCTGTGGGCCTTGGATGAGGTTCATCCAAAACTGAACAAACACCAGCTGTTGGTTGCAGGAATATTGCCCGGACTGAGCACGAGGAAGCCTGTTCCTCGCTGAGCTCTGCCCAGGTAACCTCAGGCGTGTTTTGCAAAAGATTTACCATGGCCACGCTTGGTTTAGCTCAGGGAGGTTTTTAAAAACAATAGTGATCAGCTTCGGGCTGGTGAATCACCCACAGCCCTCCAGGAGAAGTGTTCAGCTCCTCATGTTCTTCAAAGGGGCCTGCAGAGGGAACGCCTGAGGTGGAGCACTTTTGGGGTCAAATGGGAAACTGCAGAGAATCTCCCAGAAGATGGGAGTGGGTTTTCTCTTTTTGCTAACATGATCTTAAAAAATAAGCTCAGGAAGGTGGCCTGCATGGCCCAGAGAGGTGACTGCCATTTGTCCTCTGCTCTCTGCCTCCAGGCCAACACCTCGGAAGTCAACCAGAAGGTGAATTGTGTGTCAGCTACCTGCAACGTGGCCAGGAAATCAGAAACCAGAAGAAAGGGTTGCTCTGTGGCGTTGGCCAGTGTCCCGGGGACACTGTGAGCAGCTGGGGCTCAGCTCACATTGGACTCCTGCCCACTAGAGGTTTTCCCTGATAGCAAATTTTGCTGCCCTGATCAGAAATTCTGCAGCTCTGCTCCCTCTGCAGCCAGCTGGGTTCAGACCGGCTCTGGGGTTCTTGCCAGGCTCCTGTGAGATTCCTGAAAATCTCACTGAAATACAGGAAATATTTCCTACAGGAGAGCAGCTGATTACTGCTGGAAGAAGAAGCATCCTTAGTGGTAGGTATTCCCTCTGGCCTTGTGGAGTGCTGCTGTCTCAGGGCTGAATCCCAGCCCAGGTGACTTTCAGGTGGGCAAGCACAATAATAAATGAGCACAGGGGCATTCATTTTGTGTGCCAAATTATTCTAGCTAGAACAGGGCACAGGATTTTGGTAAGTGGTTCTCACTTCATCAGCTGTGCTGTATTGAATATGGAGCAGCTGTTGCATGGTTGATTGATGGATAGTAAGGAAAAGTTGAGCAGGTCCTAGCAGTGGGGTCCCCAGGATGGGAAGAACCTTTTCAGAGCCCCCTAGGATTGTTTAAAACACCCTAAGCAAACAGTGCACCTTGCAAGCACTGGGCTCAGGCTCTGAAAACTTCCTCTTTACAAAAATGGGGGGATGGGGATTAATTTCTTGTAGTGCCTATGTTACAGCAACCCAAGTCCAAACAGCTTTGCATTTCATGTGAACATTAAAGAATAAGGAAGAAAAAAAAAATGAGAGAAAATTTTAGTGGCTAAAATTACTCCTGTAGTTGTTTTACACAGCTGAATGAAGATAATTGTATTGGCAATTGTGAGTGATTACAGTATTATCTGCCATCAAAAAAGTTATTTTTTTGAATGCTAAAGGAATTAATGATACATAAAACTGTGCTTAGATTGAGTGCATTCATCAGCAGAAATGCCTCGTGCTGGCACTGCTACACTGTAATTACTCCAGCAGCTCGGAGACAGAAAGAGAGCAGGAGATATGGGGCTGTTGCAGATAGTCGAAGATTTGCAAACATTTTCACGCTGAGCATCTCTCATGCTTTGGGACTGAGAGCAGAAAAGTTGGTGAAGGGCGGTCAAGTTTGGCCCCTTCGTTAATGTGCATTATAGAAGAAAGACCAGGGGGTCATCTCTGTGCTGAGAACTTTACAGGTTGAAGCCAGCAAGGAGAAGATGATCAAATGCTTCTCAGAACAGCCAGGGGGGAGCCCAGGCTTCATGGATGCTGCCTCATGGTGTGTTGGATTGATAAAACCAGAGCTGGGGTCTCAAGCGGTTGTTGCCCAGCTCTGGGAGATGGTGGTGGTGGGGACAGCAGAGGTGGTACCCCCAAAAGGGACACCTGCTCCTGCCCTGCCCTCTGAATGAGTGTGTTGTGCTGCCACATCAGTGGGGCTGGCAGAAAATAAACATCTCGGTGGGGATGGGGTGAGGAACTTTGCAAGAAGTGCTTGCTCTGCACCTTGTGACCCTTCAGCAAGGAGACACGGCACTGGGAGGATGCTTGTAGGCAGGCTCAGCCCTGGGAAGGCTGTTGAAGGGGCTGTGAGCAGTCTGTGCAGAGCAGCAGGATGCTTCCCGTGGTGCAAAGGATTTTGGAGGAGGCTTTTAAATGAGTTGGGGTAGGTTGCAGCCCCCCTATGGAGACCGTGAGACCTTCCCACTATCATCACTTTTGATGATCTCCACCTTTTTTTGAAAAGCTGCCTTCTGAGCTGTATAATGAGCTAAATTAATTAAAAAAAAAATAAGAAAAAAATCGGGACACAGACTGGAAGGGGTGCTCGAAAGATACCGCTGCAGGTTGCGTTTGGCCTTTCGGGTGTGAGCCACCAGAGAGCAGGATTGAGCTGCTGTCCTGGTGGAAACCTGGTGCCCGGGGGCTTTTGTGCCCTAAAAACCTGCAGCGTGCCCTCGATTTGCAAGGGGCACTGAATGGAGCAGAAGGCTCTTTTCTGGCTCATTTGTTGATGGGACAGCTCAAGCTTTTTGGGGGAGGAACTCTGATTTCACGCGATTTTAAGTGCTCTTATACAATGATGGAAGATTTGCTGTTGGTCCGTCTGAACCTGGCTGTTTGTGCTAAGCAGGATATCTCAGCAGGGCTTGATCCTGAAACCTGCCAGTGCTCAGAGACCTACAGCATCACTGCCACGAGGATTTATTCTAGTGCCCGGGATCGTGCCTCAAATCCAGCACATTGCCTGTGCTTTGGGATCAGCAGAGACGTCTCTGCCACCCAGTCTGACTGAGTGTTGCAGACACGGTTGCACCTATTTGTGTGTGAAGCCAGGTTTTGAGTCTAACAGGAGCAGCCCCAAGTTCAATCCTGACAGCCTTCCTCCAAACAAAAATTATTCCACTGTTTGGGATCAAAATTTAAGTGGGGTTTATTTTTATTTTATTTTATTTTATTTTATTTTATTTTATTTTATTTTATTTTATTTTATTTTATTTTATTTTATTTTATTTTATTTTATTTTGTTTTATTTTATTTTGTTTTATTTTGTTTTGTTTTATTTTGTTTTGTTTTATTTTGTTTTATTTTATTTTATTTTATTTTATTTTATTTTAATTTTATTTTTTACTGAGCTTTGCTTCTGAAGAGGCCAGGAGAGGGAGCCAGGCAGCCAGTTACCGCACCGACCGAATTTCCAGCTCTGTGTGCCATGGGATGAAAGCAAACACACTTAAATACACACACTGATTTCCTCAGAAGTCCTGGAGGGAAGGTTTGGTCTGTGCAGACCTGGGGGCGTTCTGCAATTCCCATTTACACAGACAGGATGGGCATGGGGCAGGAGGGGAAACTGAGGCACAGAGCAGGCACCTTGCTGGAGCTGGTGGGTGGCATCCCCTCAGGGACCCTCGGAGTCCCATTTTGGGTTGTGATTGCCCTGTGTCGATTGACATAAACCTCCCTGTGTCCTCTGGGTCTGGGGTGGGTGCAGAGGGCCCGTTTTATCACCATCTCCAATCTCACACCTGTACGGACACACGGCTCGCATGGCACCGATGCTGAGTGGGGATGGCCCTCACTTGTCCCCTTCCTGGAGCAGAAAACCCCAAAGCACTGAGGCCCATGCTCACAGGGAGCAGGTGGATCAATCGATCAGCCCTTCGGACCCCCCTGCCTTGTCCTTCCCTTCTTCTCTCCCCTGGCCTAGCGAGATCACCCCTGCAGTTGGGAAGAAATAAATAAATAACCAAATAAAAATGCTGACGTGGAGAAGTCAATCAGCTTTGTGTGGCCTTGTAATATCTCATTTTATCCGCGCCACGCTTTATTAAATTCTCATAAACCTGTCAATGAGGACAGATACCATTTCAGTTTACCCCATTAGTTCTACACAATGACATCGGGGGAGAGGGAGGCGAGGAGGTGGGGGAGGCTCTCGGAGCGGAGAAAAGCGGAATGAATTAAAAAAAAAAAAAAGGGGAAACTCAGAGCCGAACTCGGCTTCGTGACAATAATGTAATAACATCGGCGCCCAGGGAAAGTAATTGAATTAAGTGGCTTTTGTTAATGGTTTTAAGATTTAGAAATGTAAATAATAGTTAGGACTCTTTAATGGGACTCTGGTTTTAGGTAACTGCAGCCCTGAGAATAAGAAATGCTTCGCTGTTTAATGTGATGTCAGATAGTTTTGTTACTCCTCCGGTTTCATGCCTGCAAAGCATATTTTGCAGTTTTAATGCCTGGTGTGTTTATCATCTTCCCTTTCTCACTTCAGACGGAGCTTAATTCGGGAGTATTTGCATGAACCCTTCTTAGCCAGTCCCTATCAGTTCTTCGCACCGCCAGGAATAAAGTCTTATTTCTCCGAGCTGCTTTGGAGAACTTCCCGACCGGAGGGTCGCTGCTCGGAAACCTCCCGTCCCTTTCGGTGTTCATTAAGGCAGGAGGAGTGGGTGCTGTCCCGCGGGCCGGACTCTGCTCCGGGGAGTAACACCACCAGGAGCAGTGCTGTTACACCAGGCTTAGCCCGGCGGGGATGGAGGATCCAGCCGACAGGTAGGATGAGCCAGGCGGTTTGGAAATGACTTTCATGGGAACTCGTTCTGCTTAAAATATGATTGGATTTTCATTCGGGGACCTATCCAAGCTCACGAATAAAGCCTGAGCTGCCTAACCCACAGAGGTCTGAACAAACAGCCCTCCCTGCTGCTCGGGGATCTGGCGGCTGGCGGATTGGAAAGGGTCCTGAAGCCAGGGGCTGAGTCTCAGGGAAACCCACCGTGCCAGGCAGAACAGGAGGCTTTGCATCTATTCACACTGAAAATCTCCCCCTTTGCGGGGTGAAGCCTGCACTGGAGCTCCCTGGGGATGCTGCAGGGATGCTGCCTTCACCGCTTGTCCCCTTCTTCCTGCCCGCTGCTGCCTGGGCAGGGGACCTGCAGCTCCACACCCGCTGCTCAGCAAGGCAGGATCTGCATCCAGCAGCAAATGAGCAGCTCAGCACACACATGGGCCACCCTTACACCTCCCTTCCCATTTACTTTGCTGTAACCTGCACCCACCTCTGCCATTGAATGGCTTCAGCTCTGCTTCTGCAGCTCGGAGTGCCGCCTCTCGGCTGCAGGTTGTGCTTTCCATCCTGCAGGACCTGGGGACCCCACACATCTTCAAAAGCCTCCCCTGTCACCTTCAAATCCTTGGCTGGAAAGAGCATAAAGGCCCCAAGCCAAAGCCAAACCTGACCCAGCTCACGTGGGCGTAGGAGAGAGTTGTCAGACAGAAAATGCAGAAATAAAGGGTTCGAGTTGCACATTTCCCCCAGGGTCCTTCTTAAGCAGGTTTTTTGCAGGAAAAAAAGACAGGAAGGAAGGAAGGAAGGAAGGAAGGAAGGAAGGAAGGAAGGAAGGAAGGAAGGAGGGAAGAAGGTTTCAGCTGCTGTCCTTTTTCCATATTGCTGTACCTTAACCAAAGCTGGGGTAGAAAGAAGTGAAAGGTTTTTTTCTTCCTATGGAAAAATAAAACAAGAATGAGAATAGCATCACAACTAAACGAATAGATTTTAACTCTGCTCTCTGCATTAGAAAAGAAAACCCAACCACCCCTATTATTGATAAAATTCTTAAAACCAGCCCCTGACATAGCAGCATCCAGGGATGGATGCAGGATGCCCTGCAGCGAGGCGAGGGGTAGCTCTGTCCCTGCTGGAGGGACGGGGGCAGCAGTGGCTGTAGTTGGGGGCTTATAGACAGGTAAGGACTATTCAATGCTTGGAGAGCTGTTAAAGAATTTGCTGTGATAAGACCCAGGGGATGCTATTTTCTGCAGATAAAAAGTAGGTTATTTTTCATGAGCTACAAGAAGGCCGGTGGTGGTGGCGAAACTTGCCATGGGGTCTGTGGCTCGCCACTACACAAGCAGTTATGAACAATATCTGAAAAAAAAAAACAAAATTGAAATTCACCGAGGGCAGCTGGAAGGAAGCTCCCATTGTGCCGAAACTGTGTGAGGATGGGAATCCTGCCCCAGCTGCAGTGCTGCATCCACACAAGGCCGACCCTCAGGTGTGCTGGTGGGACTGTCCTGGGACCAGGACGGCTTTGCTGACAATTTCCCTTCTCAGCCAGGAGCCTGTTAGAAGCAGACGAGGGAAAACAGCCCTGTGAGCCAAAGAAATCAGACTCCAGATGATTTACATGGAGCATGAGGGGCACCAGAAGGGCAGCCAGCCCAGAAAATGAGATTATAAACTATCATCCCCTGTTACACGCCGGGACGTGGCTACAGGGTGGCCCTTTGGCATCATTCGGGGAGGTGAAAGCAGAAGGCTTTTGTCTCCTCTGATTGGAAAATCTCCCATTTCAGGAGTCCCTGAGAACATGTTGGGGTTTCTGCCTCCTTCCTGCAGCCCTTCCTGACCTTCTCTGGAGGAACAGGGATGTCCTGGCCGGTCCCTGCCGTGTCTTGCTGGCCCATGGCATCCCCTGAGCCAAGCCCTCCACCAGGCTGCCTGATGTTCCTGCAAATTGCCTAAGGGCTGGCTTGGTTTGGCTGTGGCAATGCTTGGTGCAGGTTTTGGCAGCCTCAAGGCTGAAAACTCTGAAGGAGTTTTAAACATCACCTGTATTGGGGAAGGGAGAGGAGAGAAGAAGAATCAGGAAGGGGGATTCAGGAACCCTAATGTGGATGCCCCATGCTGCTTAAAGTGATGCAGAGTTCAAGCAAGGCGAGTGTCGCATCTGAGCCAAGAAAATGCAAACCAGCCCATCTGCTCACATCAGTGCTAGACCTGCTGGCAGTGAGTTGGCTTTTTAATGTTCTTCACCTCCGCAATGTGAACCGATAGGAGGGGGAAAGACACACAACTAGGAGTCCTCAGAAGAGGCAGAGCCCGGTGCTTAGTTTGCTCTGGCAGGGAGGAGGTTAATAAGATAATCTCCAGGCCCTCTAACACAAAGGGAAAGTGAGTTTTCTGATCCATAAAGGATCAGTCTGCAGGAAGCCCCATCAGACTCCTCAGCGTGAAATTACACCGCAGCAGGGGGGTACAGTCCTGCTACTGTACAACATTAAAGAGATGAATTAGGACTTGACATTCATGTGCTTAATATGCCTATTCCTGGCATTATCCCACAAGGACCAGCCACCGCCAAGGACTTACGGTCACCGGGTCTAGGAAGGTATTTAGGGTTGCTCATTTGCTTGCTTCCAAACCCAGGCTATCTGGCTTCCCCATCTAATCTCCCAGCATTAGGAGCAGGGAGGCGCGCAGCCCGGCTTGTCTATCTCACATCCATCTGGTCTGGTGAACAAACGCCGGGCACTCCATCGTAGCTTGAATAAATCACAGCGATCCTCTGGGCCGGTGTGTGGCGAGCAAGGGGAAAACACGAGGAGCATCGAATCAAGACGTGGTCGTCTGGAGGCTGGGAAAGGGGGAAAGAGCCAACCCTGAAAGTATGTCCCTCAGATAGTCACTGCTAACAAAAAAATAAAAGGAAAAAAAAAATCAGTGGAAAACAAAGCCTCAGCAGATCCTGTATTGGAAATTATCAGAATGAGGGTAGCTTCCCTGGTGTTAAGATGGTTGGAGGTGTGCCTTGGACAAACTGTGGGCACTCTGAGCTACATTGCTGAATGGGCTCTGCCAGAAGGCAGAGTGTTTTCAAGCCCCAGGTCTGGGCTGTGTGAAAATCCTCACGCGTTTGAACTCTGAGCCAGGGCAGAGTGCTTTTGGTTTGCTTTTTCTCCATGAAATATTTTGATGAGAATGAAATTTTAGGGGGAGGGGGAGCGTCTACTCCAAATTCTGGAAGAAATAAAAAGGAAAATGTTGGCTACGAGGCCACATAGTTCTGTTTTGAGCTGATCATTTTCCAAGAGAAAATCCAAACTTTTTTTTTTTTTCAGAAAGTAGCTGTCCTGCAGGAAATTCCTGCTTACACGGGTGTGCCGCACTTCTGGCAGGAGCACTTTTGATCAAACTGATTGAAAAGCCATTTAATTGAAACTGTTTTAAGAACCGACTTAAATTTGGCAGGATTAATGGGGGAAGCATGGATGGGCCCAAGAGAAATAAATGAGAAGCAGTCCTCCCAGAAGCTGATTTTGCAATGGGCTGGTATGGAGAAAGGCTGCGAGGCACAAGGACATCCTTGCAGCTCTCAGCACACTGCATGGCATGTAGTCCTGCTCCCCAACCATCCCGTTGGGCCATTTGGAAACCCAGGCTCTGGAAAAAGGGGAGCAGGAATTTTGGGGCACCCTGGGACTCATCCAGACATGGATGTGGTGTAGCCAGAGCCTGAGCTTGCAGAATCAGTCCTGACCTTGGCCATACCAAGGAATCTCTTGTGTTGGACCTGCTGGTTGACCAGATTTGTAACCCACTTCTACAGCACTTTGATACAGGCACAGTTTCGTTTGCCCTACTTGATAATGGATATAATAGGATGGTCATTAGGGAACTTCATGTTAAAAAGCTACACCACGACTCTTAAAAATGAAACCATGGTGTTGGTACAGGGACCGTACCACCGTGCTGCTTCTCTGGTTCCTCCTGGTCATTATTAAGCTCATCATAACCCATGGGGGTGGGAGATGTTAGAGGTCATGGCTCTTTGATCTGAATTGCACTAACAACAAATCCTGACTTTGCCCATGCAGCTCCTAAACTGGTTTCACTTCTACAGACGCCCTGCTTCTCTCCCATGGGCTGTAGGGTTACTTGTGGGTAGAAGGGTGTGAATGTCCCCTGAGGGTCCCTGTCTCTGCCTGGTCA